AGATTGATATACCACCACATCATGCTAAATTTCATTCATGCCAATGGGTGTGGTGTGGCACAACAAAGGACAACATTGGACCTGTCACAATCCTTTATGCACACAAGTGCTTCTGTTCCCCCATGATTCACCCATGCAGGAGCTATACCACTCCAAATTTCATCATACGTCACGAACCCTGAAAACAGCTGTAAATTTACAGCACAAAACTGGAACTATTTCCCCAGGTTCACGGGGTTGAAAACTGTTCCCCCCACCCCTCAAAGCAATTAACAAGGAAACAAGCACTAAACATCCACTAAGTTCCAACAGATTTCCAGAAAGGGCTCTTACATTTGGGGGGGGGGGTCACATAAAACAGAAATGATCAGCTAAGGGAATGTTAGGAAAATGGAATAAAGTTTGAATGTTTGAATGTTAAAAGAAAACCTGTAAGTTCACCATTTAGAGCACAAGAGAGAAGAAGAAGAAGAAGAAGAAGAAGAAGAAGAAGAAGAAGAAGAAGAAGAAGAAGAAGAAGAAACTTGTACTTTCATCAAAGGACAATTCAAACATCAAGCCCAAAGGAAAAGGGAGTCATTTCCTCCAAACATTTTCCTTGCAGTTCTTAGTGTTGAAGATATTTGTGATTTCTTTAAACAGAGAAAGTGGGGTTGTGGGGATGGGTGGGAGTTGCTATAAAGCAATAGTAGTCAATATGTTGAAGTATTTACACTTATCACATTTAACTCTTTGGTTGCATTGCTTCATGTTTTAAATAGGATGTTTGCTGTTATTCCCTTCTTTATTTTTTGCAATTCAATGCTTGTCTCGTGCAAGGGGCTGGTGAGGGCGGACCATTTCGTTTAGGGCAACATTCCCTCATAGGCAACCTCCCAGGGGAACAGAAGAAAGACAAGCTCCAGCGCTTCTTATAATAAGCTGTTCATTTAGCTCAGCTGTTTTTATCTCTCAGCTTTCCATGGGTCGGATGTCAGGCAGGGAAGGGGCAAGAGGCAAAAAGTGGGTGGGGTCAGCATGATACAGTAGTACCTCGGTTTGAGAACAGCCCTGTTTATGAACGATTCGGTTTACGAACTCCACAAAACAGGAAGTAGTGTCCCGGTTTGCAAACTTTACCTCAGTCTAAGAATGGAATCTGAATGGTGGAAGGGCACCGGCGGCGGGAAGCCTCATTAGGGAAAGCACGCCTCAGTTTAAGAATGGTTTCGGTTTCAGAACGGACTTCCGGAATGGATAAGTTCATAAACCAAGGTACCACTGTACGTGCTTCTCTACCTTTGTATGGTAGTTTACATTGAACAACACCAGGGTCAGGTTGCTACACCCACCCACAACTCCCTAATCCAGGCAAGCAAGAAGCACAGTTTAAGGAAACATTAAAGTCAGGCAAAAGCACACAAGGAGAGAAGATAGTGGGGCCTTTGGGGGGAATAGTCCAGGGAAAGAGAGCACAGGCAGGGATGGTGTCCAGGGCCATAAGAAGAGAGGCCTGGATGCCTGCATTTGGCTCCCATGAGAAAGAAAGAAAGAAAGAAAGAAAGAAAGAAAGAAAGAAAGAAAGAAAGAATGAATCAAGGAAATCTCAGGCATTCTAGCAGCATCTGATACCTGCACAACAGCTACATGCTTCCCTCATGATGCCCAAGTTCATCCTCACAAGCTTCCCGATACGTACACACACACACACACACACACACACACACATCTGTGCACGTGGTTCAAAGGACAATATTTGAAATAAGCCAGGACGATACTGCATTTAGGGTTTTGTGGACCTATAATCAGGGACACGGGTGGTGCTGTGGGTTAAACCACAGAGCCTAGGACTTGCCGATCAGAAGGTCGGCGGTTCGAATCCCCACGACGGGGTGAGCTCCCATTGCTCGGTCCCTGCTCCTGCCAACCTAGCAGTTCGAAAGCACGTCAAAGTGCAATTAGATAAATCGGTACCGCTCCAGCGGGAAGGTAAACGGCGTTTCCGTGCACTGCTCTGGTTCGCCAGAAGCAGCTTAGTCATGCTGGCCACATGACCCAGAAGCTGTACGCCGGCTCCCTCGGCCAATAAAGCAAGATGAGCGCCGCAACCCCAGAGTCAGCCATGACTGGACCTAATGGTCGATGTCCCTTTACCTTTTTTTAAGAAAGAAAGAAAGAAAGCTAGAGAAAAGAGACTCTGAGCTGAGTGTGAAGGACAGTGTGTGGTGTCCTGTAAGAGTAATTAGGCCAGGAATTACCTGGGAGGCTGAGGCTGAGACAGGAGAAGTAGAACCTGTAAAGAGACAGTCTACTTAGGTCTCATTCCAGTCAGGAGGGAAGAGATTCTTCTAGAAAGAGAAGACTTCCAAACCAGTGAACCCTTGGGTCTATTACTTGGAGTACCCCAGGAGTAGGGCTGTCTAAGGGGTGCGTAACTGACAGGAAGTACCACCTTGTTAAGAACCAAAGTATTAAGTTAAGAACCAAAGTATTAAACGGCAACAGTTGTGCAACAACTGAGAAATATTGAAGCAAAATAACATAATAAACTGAAGTATCCTATGTTTTACCCTATGTCTGTATATAATAAAATAGCTACAGGAATGTACTCACAGGCTTAAGCAACATATAGGCAACTTCCTGATATAATTCTAAACTGGCCTTGAATGTTCTGTTCCTGTAGCTGTACAGAGTGGGGACACACACTTATGCTATAATTGCTTTCTTAGCAAGGCAGTCGAGTCAAGATTTTTTTAAAAAATAAAATAAAATGCAAGATTTTTAGGAGGTTTGTGGACGTGGCAAAATGGCCACTGGGAAAACAAATCCAATGTGTAATGATTTGTTTTGTTCCCAGGGGGAGGGTTCCTGAAATGTGGCCGAACTCAACAGCAGGTCATTAAGGTCATTAAAAAGCTTCTGCCCTGGGTTATTAGAATCATCTTAGAATATTAAAGCTTGATTCAAAGACTTGCAGCAACAGCAAGTAAGTGCTTAGCAGAGACCTACCAGTTTTCATTTCAGTGTGCCAAGCTGTATTGATGCTGGTGCAGCTGATTAGGAGCTGGGTTGAGGGTTATATTCTGGCATTCATGGATTCACTGGTTACACGAACAACTTGCAATTTCTATAGCTAAACACACAAAGGGAACGAAAATAATCCAGTCTTTCTAATACCCCTCCCAATTCCAGATGCCTGTAGGGAGCCACTGTGATCCTGCTTTCTTGCTTTCATTGTGTAAAGAATGACAAGAGCACTCAGCAAATAATAAACGACAACTTAAATACAACGGTAAAGTCAACAAAATTAATGGCTTTAGATTATTTTGTTTACGAAAATAATAATAATAAAGCTTTCACATCACTGTTATGGAATCTGAGTACTAATTGTTCAATTCCACAGCCTGGGGATAATGAATGGCACTCACTTTCTCTCTCTCTTTCCCTTGTTCAAAGTATTCTGCCAATGCCCTTGGTTACATTTAATTTGACATTAAATCAAATGAGCATAAAAATAACACTGGAGAATAAATAGTGCGTATTCTGCATTGCTAGTCTAGCAGGCTATTATAATATATATTTTACCCCTCTGAAATGTTTCCCTCATTATTTTGTTACCATGTCAGCTAGGCGACTAAATAATATTTGCTGATGCTACAGGGGCATGTGAACATGGTGGCATTTGGTCAAGTAAGGAATGTAATAAAGAGCTGTATATATGTGTGTGCATGAGTACACACATGCACATAACATTTCTAGACCACCTGTCACCCAGGGATCGCAAAAATGTCAAAACTAGATAGACAGATGATAAATAGACAGACAACAGATATAGAAAGATAGATGATAGACAGATAACATTAAAAACCTCCAAGTGACAAATAAAACTGCAGCACAGAAGCACAGTACATGCCTTTCAAAAGAAGGCATGACATCCACTCAACCAAAGGTCATGATAGGGCTGTTCACACATTACATTCAATGAGTGTACAACCTGTCTGCGCATATACTTAAATGGTACAGTGAATGTACACAGACTGTGTACACCAGGCATAGTCAAACTCAGCCCTCCAGATGTTTTGAGATTACAATTCCCATCATCCCTAAACACTGGTCCTGGGATGTTGTAGTCCCAAAACATCTGGAGGGCAAGTTTGCCTATGCCTGGCGTACACAGTAGTTGGCCTGCACAAATTAACAAGTAGTTGGCCTGCACAAATTAACAAACAGAAGCCAAACACCGGCAGCAGAAGGCCTCATTAGAGAAAGCACGCACCACGGTTTAAGAATGCTTTGGTTTAAGAATGGACCTCCGGAACGGATTAAGTTCGTAAACCGAGGTACCGAGGTACCATAGTGATTTGAACCTGGGTCTCCCAGGTCCTAGTCAAACACTTTAACCACTACACCACACTGTATCCACACATCCATCTTGTGAGATGAATCACTCACTCTCCAGTCTAACCTAAGATCACCCACTGAGATTCAAATCTGAGTGGGCATTCTATACCAGCTTGAACACATTATCCATTTTATCACAGGACCCCTATGTAAAGGTTACTTCATCCTGGTGTGATCTCATACAAATGGCAGATGAGAAAGGGCAACAGGAGCAAAGTGATCCTATGAGTAAGATTGATCACAGGGACCTTTCTTTCTTTCGCAGCTGGCCTTCCATCCTGCAACTTGCTTGGAAAAACCAGTGGAAAGGTCACTTCTGAGAACGAACGAACTGGGCTCAGTGCATGGTTCCCTCCCTGCAACTCCACACTGAACTTGTCACTCAGTCCAACATTATGAGCCAGACAAATGAGACAAAGTACCAAAAATTAAGACAGAACAAACACTGAGAGAATAAACCAACTGCATGGGTCTTTCCTGATTAGTCAAGAATTCTGGACCCATATTTGCACCACCGCTCAAATGAGAAGATCTTAGCTAACACCATCATCCCCTCATGTTATATTTGATTAGCTGCGTAATCTCTTTTTCTTCCTGTCAAGTGCCACATTGTTTACTCAGGGCCATAGGATCAGTGGTAGAGCATCTGCTCTGCATGCAGAAGGCCCAAGGTTCAATCCCCCGCATCTCCAAATAAGGCTTGAGATGTCCCCTGTCAGGAGAGCCATTGCCAGTCTGTGAAGATGATACAGAGCTGGATTGACTAGTGGGCTGCCTCCGTCTGAGGCTTTTTCTTTTGTTTCTATGGCTGCATGCCATCTGTTGGCACGGATTTAGCCCTTTGTACAGACACCTGTTCCATTGTTCTTCCTCTTTCTGATATCACCTCTTCTTTCTCTCCCTTTTCCTTCTCATCCAGTGCGTGAGCTGCCGAAGAAGGGACAGAACTGTTCAAACCTCTGGCAAGAGTGGACATTTGCAAACCAATTTTGAAAATTGGGGAAGGAACCACATAACGTTAGGGTGAGGGATCCAATTGGCCTCAGGTTGCCCATACTTATCTTGGAACAACCACAGTTCTAAGATTTCCAGAGAAATTTGGAACTCTGACTGGAGTGCAGTGGAAAGCAGATCTTTTCACTTTTATTGTTGTTATGCAAGGAGAGATGGGGGAATACATGGCTCATAGTTTGACTGCAATTTACTTCCAATCACCTGAACCATAGTTCAGCCAATTTGATACGTTCTTGATGTTGATGGACTTCCAACTGCCATCAGCCTCAGCCAATATCTTAAGGGCTACCCCTGGTTCTGATTTTTGTTTGAACAAGGGTCAACAGACACGTTATGGATCTCTTGTGCCACTGAATAGGAACATTGGGAATGTGGTTACTACCCAGATCCAATTCATAACAATGGAACTAAATTATTCCAGTGGCTGGTGGTTGATCAATCTATTCCTACAAGGAACTAAAACAGAAGGTCCTGATAGAATAAAAACTATTTTCCTATCTTTAAGCAATTGTAATAGTCAACAGTTGAACATTATGGCTTGGATTTATTACTTTTAATCGCTTTGTCTGGAGCGAGTGGGATAGACTCTCCAGTACTGTACCTGGTAGTGTTACTTCTAATCCACCAGCAAAAGAAAATTGCCTTTCTGAAAGGAACATCTCAGCCTACTTCCCAACTCATAGAGGCTGCAAGATGTGCCTTTGTATATCAAAAGGATAAAGACGACACAAGGCATAATTGCTCAGTTTTCAAAGAGCTGTAAGATATTTCCCATGGAAAAAAGCTTCCAGACAATAGAATAAAAAACCTAGCCCTAGCAATTTCAACACATTACAGCTCCCTTTGTTAGCTTTTCAAACCATGCAAAAAAACTTCTATCCCTCAAGATACCCACACCCATTAGAAATAATCCCATTCTTGCATCTCCCACGGGCCACTCTGCATTGAGAGACATTTAAAAGCTAACTGTTCTTACTTCTTACCAACCTGTTGCTCTCACTCTGGAATAGCACCCTCCCCTTCTCTTCCCCAAAATAGCAGAACACCACTTTTAAGACAACTGATAGAGGGAAGACTCCCAAAATGAGACCATAGCTGCTTGTTACAATTATGATTGGTGAATTGTAACCATCCATATGAAGGATGCAATAAAATACCAATGGTGAAAAACTGTATATCTGTTGTTGTTGTTGTTGCTGCTGCTGCTGCTGCTGTTTATAGATTTATTAGTAATTTGTTAACTAAAAGGTCTCCAGTCAACTTACATTTAAAATCACAAACACAAAGACATTATTGCAGACTTCCAGACAACAATGACAGGGGCAATACTTTTGCAATTGAGCCAACTGCACAGAATCAAGGAAATCTCAGGCATTCTAGCAGCATCTGACACCTGCACAACAGCTACATGCTTCCCTCATGATGCCCAAGTTCATCCTCACAAGCTTCCAGATACGAACACACACACACACACACACACACATACATACATCTATGCACGTGGTTCAAAGGACAATATTTGAAATAAGCCAGGACGATACTGCATTTAGGGTTTTGTGGACCTATAATCATGGACACGGGTGGCGCTGTGGGTTAAACCACAGAGCCTAGGACTTGCCGATCAGAAGGTTGGTGGTTCGAATCCCCGCAACGGGGTGAGCTCCCGTTGCTCGGCCCCTGCTCCTGCCAACCTAGCAGTTCGAAAGCATGTCAAAGTGCAAGTAGATAAATAGGTATCACCCTGGCGGGAAGGTAAACGGCATTTCCGTGAGCTGCTCTGGTTCGCCAGAAACGGCTTAGTCATGCTGGCCACATGACCCAGAAGCTGTACGCTGAGCTCCCTCGGCCAATAAAGCGAGATGAGTTCCGCAACCCCAGAGTTGGCCACGACTGGACCTAATGGCCAGGGGTCCCTTTACCTTTACCTTTAGACCTATAATCATTTAAAACTCTGACCTTTCCCAAATAGTATTCAAGTAAAAACACACATTATTTGCAGAATTTGCCACAACTTTCTGTATGGTAGCAGGAAACAAATTCAGCACACATTGCATTATCTGCCATTTATTCATTCTAGTTGTTGGGTTTTTGTTTTTTTAAATGAACTTCGCTTAATTATTTTCTTAATTCTTTCAAGAAATACAAATAGAGTGCTATTAAAGAGTATGGGAACTTATCCCAACATCCTTAAAGTAAATCTGCACACTACGAAGTACTGCTGTGTCCTATCGATCTATGGAAGGGGAAATAGGTTCAGATATTTCAGCTGAATGGAGCAGCTAACCTTATACTTTACAGTATTAAAAATGTCACCTTATTTTGAGGATTAAAAAGTGATAAAAGCATATTCAGCTCTTCCAAAGCTCATCATTATTATTATTATTATCATCATCATCATTATTATTATTATTATTTTGGGGGGGAGGTGGATAAGTTACAGCTGTCAACCACAATGCAGAGGGTTCAGAAATTTCCAGTGCAACAGTGAGCTGGACCTGATGCAACAGAGCTACAACTTGCACTTCCCATGCAAAAGTACAGAGGGTTGATATTGATGTTAAAAATAATAGGAAAAACCCACAACTGTAGCCTTTCTAGTTTCCCCTAGGCTGACTATAACTCTGAGAGACCTTTGTCAGCTTGAACACAGTGGAGATTGGTTTAATTTATTAGCTAATCTTTGTGCAGAGTGTTTTGCTTTAACATCGCAAGACACTGTAAGAGTCCATAGTTATCCATGTTGAAGTTGAAAGAGATTATTATTATTTATTAATACATACAAATCCTGTTTGTAGTCCGTCTCCCCCCCCCCCCAAAAAAGGTGGCATAGGCATTTTGGATCTTTGGCTCAGTTGTGGTCCTGGGGACATCACAATAACATATATATGCCAGTGTTACAAGTGAACCAAAAATTTTAAAGTACAAGGACTTGTTTGGATGTCAAATTCCAGAGTACCATGCACACCCAAGTCTGTACAAAGTAGTTACGAATATTTCCCCTCCAATTTAGAATATAAAACCATTGGCATATTGATAATTTAGCATGGATTCTTAGAACATATACATTAAGAACGAACAGATTACAGAAGTAGGAACAAATATGTTTAAGTGTATTATGCATTATGCATCCATGGAGTTATGGATATGGGATTAATTCTTCCTAGTGTGTGTACTACTACTACTACTACTACTAATAATAATAATAATTTATTATTTGTACCCCGCCCATCTGGCTGGGTTTCCCCAGCCACTCTGGGCGGCTTCCATAGAAACCAAAAATACAGTAAAATATCACAGATTAAAAACTTCCCTGAATGTACTGTATGCATTATCAATTAAACATGTGGTACACTGCCCTTTTAAAAGAAACAGCTGTGACCCAGGAGGCTTGCTGACTCAGAGGTGCAGCCTGGGTGGAAAACTAGTTTGTTTTTAAGTCTGTGCGGGCTCCCAGGACTCTTCAAGAATCTGAGAACCTTGAATCTGAGCAAGTCACAGAATTGTTTATTACCACTGGCTTTCTACTAGACCCAGAGAATAGTAAGTCATCTCAGAAGATGTCACCATGTATTCTAACAGAATAATTCATAATGCCAGTGATTGCCAATGTGGCACCAAAGGGTGCCCATATGCCTAAAGAGGCTTTCTCTGGAGCCCACAGGGTCAAATCCACTGAAATTAAGCTTGAAAAAAGTGTTCTATTATAGCCAACAGAATAGGCAGCAGTGACCTTTTGGGCATGATGAGCATAAGTTTTTACTGTTTGCAAATATGCCCGCAGGCCCTAAATGCATTCAGTTCTCCGTTCTGCCACACACACACACTACCAAAGATAACAGACATTTATTTACTTTCAATCTCCTGGAGAAATACACTTTTGCTTAGCAAACTAGGAACCTTTACTTTAAAAATCTTTTAAATAAACAAGGCCTTGCGCTTTGGAAGATTCTATACCCTTATAGATTTTTCCCCCTGCATGTTTGCTTGTCCCACCCTGTTCCAATGGGAATCAAACAAGTGTGCAAAGGATTAGCCTGTGTCTCCAAGGAAGTGAACTTGCTTCCTATCATACTTGTATGTGTACAGAGTGAGACACAAAGACAAAGCTTCCTCTTAACTTAGCAGGACCTAATTCTGCAAACTGCAGCACAACAGTCGTGTGGGTTGCAAAAAGAAAAGAAAAGAAAAGAAAAGAAGCAACAAGGCAACAATCGCACAAAAACCATTTAGGGCTTGGTTGAAGAAAAAGAGGTATGTGTCCTGTGTACTTGGAGGTCTCCTTCCTTCTTTTTCTTAAGGGCTACAGGCTCTTATAGATTATACAGAGGCTTGGTTGAGTTGTAAACCAATACACTTCAGTTATCCAAGAAACCAGCCAGAATGCATGCTTCCCCAAGAAATATATGAATTTCAAAACAACAACAAGAAAAACAACAACACACCATCACCTTCATTCACAGCCAGCCAGTCCTGGATCAGGTACCTACAAACAGTGAAAAAACTTTATTTCACATGCATTGGGCTACAATATTTGAAGTTAACATCTCACCATGCAAAGCCAAATACAGTAGTAAGTCAAGGACTGTATTAGCTGCACAGAAACATAAATAAATCTGGTCAGCATGTATGCACACCCAGTATGTGAAAACGTTCCTCCAAAAGCACAACCCAAAGCTAC